AAAAACTCTCTAAGGATTTTAACAATGTCCTTACATAAATTCAGCATCCTCCTATACATATTTCAAAACTGGTTGTATGAGTTGCCATCATTTTGCATTGCATGTCATATATCATAAGGTTCTGAGACGCCTTAGTATTTTAATCAAAATTTTTTTTCAAGCTGACTTTTACACTTTTAAACCCACTGCCAACACACAACAGTACCTTTATTTTTCCACGTTTTTTATTCTTCCTTAATGAATAATATTGCCAAACATGGAAGTAGTTCTACTATAAAAGGTACTTTATTTTCTAGGAATAAACAGTATCATTTAAACATCTTCAAGAAAGTCACCTCTCACTTTTTCTGATTCTGCCTACTCTTCTCATTCTCTCCATTCATTTCTATTATAGAAATGTAAGCCAGCAATTCTGAGAATAAGGTTAAAATACATATATAGGGTAAACATAAAGTTCACGTGCAATCTAAAATAGTTTAACATAGTAAATGTACAATTTAATATAGTAAACTATATATAGGTGTATATAAAGAAAAAAGATATCCCTGGTAATAATTATGTATGCCTTAATATTGCTCATAGATATTTACATTTGATTAATCTAGTTCATACCATATTACTTTGGGCTTTGGAATAAAATCCGAACACCACACCATGGGCTTTAAGAAAAAGTCTTCTCTACCATTCTCCATTATTTCACCCCCTCCCTTTCTTCCTTAGCCTTCAGGACATTCCCTAAAACACTTCAAGCTTGTTTTAACCTCAGAAACTTAGTTGTCATTCCTTTGGCTGGAAGTGTCTCCCCCAGATTTGTGAATACATAGGCTGCTCCTCACTATTCAGGTCTCAGGCCAAATGTTATTTTTTAGAGATCTCGTCTGAATTACTTTATTTAAATGGATTCCTCCTCCCTATACATCATTTATGCCCGTCTCCCATAAAAAACCCTACCTCTTACTCTAGTATTTTACTCTCTCACTATAATATAAGGAGACCACGAGCGCAGGATATGTTTCACTTAACACTTCATCTCTAACATTTTAAGTACCCAGTGTACAAAAAGCATTCACTATTTACTAAATGAGCAATCTCCTAATCCAAATCCTGGATATGGCATTTAAAGAAATTATACAGGACAGCCATGACTTAATCCAAATATGTGATCCATAAAATCACTTTCTTCCTACTGTCAGCAAGCTGTTACCTTTGTTATCAAGTCAACAAAGGGTTGACTTGATTATAGAGTTTTTGAAATACTTCTAAAAATATTAGAAAGGCACTCATTCACAGGAAGTGGTCAAAGTAAAAGATCAAATGTAACTTGCAAATTTTAATTCTGGAACATTTTTTTAAATTACGGATTTTAAAACAACTATATTTTGTACCAATGCAAAAGTTTTCAAAACGTTAAGATTCAAACTACATATTAATCTAAATAAAACAATTTCAAAATTAAGTTCTTGAAATGTTATAGATACCTTCAAAAAGCAAAGCCATAAAATTAGTCTTACCTTGATACATAGCCTGTGCTCCCGTCCAAGCAAAAAGGCTTGCAATAGCATTAGCTCTATAAACAACTTCTACCTGATCAGCACGGTTTCCTTTCAAAAACCTTTCCCTTTTTAAAAAGTCAGGTAACAGATGAAACTGGGTGTGACCATAACAGCATGGATCTGCAGTTTTGGAGCCTTAAGAGCAAAACAAAAACAGTTCAGATAAAATGCACATCAAGAGTGTTTGAAGCATATGTTTTAGTGTTTGTTTCAAACCCCCCTTTCTCTCCATAAATCATGTGCTCAGTACTCAAAAATGTAATTAGGAATAGTAATTTACTTATTTTAGTGATTATACTAAAGTTTTGCATGGAAGTACAATTTCACCACCTATTAGCCTTTATAAAGCCCACCATGATGATAAAGAATAAATCTAAAGAATATTTTAGAAGTTTTATAAAATTGTCTATTTAAATTTTTTCAAATCCCTTGCTCGTCATTGGGAACCTTGTTAGGTTCCTTATCATATTTCAAAGGATAAAAAAGATTTTAAAAACTTCATTTATTTAATGTAATGATTATATACTTCATTCCTGATTTTTTTTTTTTTGGCTGGAGCTGGGTTTGAACCTGACACCTCTGGCATATGGGGCTGGCGCCCTACTCCTTTGAGCCACAGGTGCCTCCCCATTCCTAATTTTTTAAAAAAAACGTTTTCAACATTTCAAGAAAGCTAACATTCTTGAATTTAGTAGTAAAGTCTTTTCAACAAACAAAAAGTTCCCCACAGGTCATTGTGTAAGATCTTAGTGACTAAAAATGGGCTGATAAAAGAGGTCTGGAGGACTAGTGTAAAACCTTCTTTAAATCTTCTTGAAGTTGGCCAGCAATTAATAAAGAAAGCAAAAACAGGAAAATAATAAGTTACATGAAGGCAGATATTAGGCCTTGTTAATTTGTGAATTCCTGATGGTTATTATCATATGTGACACTAACAAATTTTTAATTGATACTTGTTTTTCCTAAACTTTTTGACTTTTGAAAAAACACAAACTACTTTTTTTATATAGTAAATTAACAAATTTTAATGTTGTAACTGTTTTTTAAATGTAAATACTACTATTTCAATAGAAGTAAAATTTCAAATAGTGAGCTGAAAGAATACTTTCAAATTTTCATGCATGTTCCAATAATTTGAGATTATAAATTGTATCACGTGTGGACTATCTGAAACTTAGTGCTCCAAATTTGCATAGGACACTCTGACCATATTTCTGGGATGATACTTCGAAAGAGAAACTTACCAATAAATATGCTGTTTTCATATTGCCGTCTGAATAACGGAAGTGTGTCTGGTTTACATTTCATAACAGGGATTTCTATAGGAATAGAATAATCCAATGGCACAAACTTAAAGAAAAAGAAAAGACATACTAAATACACAGAGACATTAGTATTTTACTCACACTCTTGTTATATTTAAAAATCTTAAGATGAAGTGTTTACACACAAAATGATTTAATAATTATTAACATCTAATGATGGGCCAAATCCAGCCACACACCTATTTTTACACACAAGGTTTTACTGAAAACAGAATATACACATTCATTTATATATGGGTATGGCATGACTGCTTTTAACACTGGAAGAGCAGAATTGAATAGTTGCAATGAAAACTTAGAGCCTACACAGCCTAAAATATTAACTTTTTTCAGACCTTAATAAAAAAAGCATGGAAATGCCTGACACAGAGGCAAGAGACAATATTGAAAATACTTGCTTTTCTTCAAAAGAGCTACAAATACGCAAAATGACCCAGCTCATAGTGCAAAAATTCCTTGACTTATGTGACTAGCTAGTGTACTCTATGCTAAATTACAATAAACTATTGTGTCAGCATTTTTAATTAAGAGAATGAAAATTTTTAACTAAGAAAGAAAAGATCTGTCTGGCCCTACAAAATAATAGTTTTAACTTGTTACTCTTAAAATAAATCTTTGATCTTTGTGGAACACACCATAAGCAGATTAAAAAACTAGACACGATTTTCAGATGAGATGTCTGCCAAGGAAGCTTAAAGGGCAGGAGACCCACTCAAAACATTTTATCCTAGTAAATCTACCACCTCATTTTCCTATGACATTTCCTACATAAAATGTCAATAGATACATATGCAATAAATCCTTACCTCTGGCAGTTGCTTGGATATGCGAATCTGGTTGTGTGGTTTATCATTTATCTGGTATCGCAAAGCATCCACTCGACCTTTTCTGTGACCACGAGGAATAATTTCTTCACCACGCAACCAGTAGAAGTTAACTGGGCGTTTATAATCTAGCAAAAGATATTCAAGATGTTCTCATCTGATCATCTGGATAAACTTTGTTATGGTTAGAACACTAGAGAATACTAACTTAGCAATAGTAACTTAAGAATGATATAGCTAATTTAAAAATATATAAAAAATTACTCTAAGATAGCCTGGGTTATAACTTAAACAGAATACTCAAACATGTTTTATTTTTTCTGCCATCATTACAATGAACACTGTAACCAAAGAGGTTCCTCAATTAAAGTAATAAAAACAGCACTAACAGGGATACCACTCACAAGAAACAAAAACAGTTTAACAAGAGTAAGAACTGTTTTATGAACTACCAATTCAACCTTCGCAATAACTCTAAAAGAGAAATAAAAGGAACCTGGGTCTTGACAAAGCTTTGTCTGCTAAGCCACCACTGAGTAAAAGTCCCTGATGCTCCCCTCAAGACCACACTCCCCTTTCAAATGAAAATGGGAATTAACAAGGCTCACCTCTAGTCATAACATTAATTCAGTAAATACTAAGATGTCAACTGGGTGGTAGATAAAAATCAACACGCCAGAAAACACTGACTTTTAAAGTTGTCTATATGTGATTATTTTCCTTGCCTGTACTGTAGGGTTAAACAGAAGATGCTGATTGTACACTGGGAACTCACAACAGCGGGGTTTGAAACTTGACCACCATCCTCCACCTACTAGCGATAGGGCCTTAGACTACATTTAATGTTTCCGTGCTTCAGCTTTTTTTTTTTTCCACTTACAAAACAATGCTACCTACTGTAAATGGTTACTGTGAGCTTTAACTGACACATAAACATTTAGACAAGAGCCTGGGAATAAAGTGAATAAATAATAGGCATTTTAGTTAACATGTAATTTAATCTTCACAATTCTGTGACGAAAATATATTACTGTAATTCTCATCTTGAAAATGTGAAAAATTAAGCTAAACGAGATTAACTAATTTACATACAGTCACACAGCTTTTAGATGGGAGAGCCGCTAGAAAACTCGAGTCTGTCCTACCTACCAAGTGCCCTTTCTCTTAACTACCACCACTCTTCCATTCGGCTGCACACTCACAAAGTCGAGTCAAGGACTGGAATCCTGGAAGCTCAGGCCACCAGTCTGGACTCGAACAGCTAATAAATAGGTGGCAACACGTCAGGAGAACCCAGTCGCCAGATTCCCAATGTAGTGACCGCTAACTACACCACATCGCCCCCAGCTAGCAACAAAGGGACTAGAAAAAACGAACGAAGCAGAAAGAAATAGTGAGAAAATCTGTGACAGAACGACCCAGTACAACGCCCATGTCCCCCGAGAGAGGCCCAAGCTTACCAAGGGCGGCGGTGGCTAGGGCCGGATTGTGCGGGCTGAGCAAATCCCGGAGGGTTGCCACCAGCTGGTCTAGAAAGGGCGAAAGGATAGTGTCATGCTTCTGGTGGCGGAACACGCGCTGCTTGCGCCGCAGATAGAAGTGCTCCTGCAGAAGACAATCACAGGCGGCCGCACGCAGCGCCGGAAGGTCCAGCTCCGGCACCGGCTCGGGCTCCGCGGGCGGCGGCGGCAGACCCGACACGAACACGGTCTTGGTGAAGCCCTGGTACCAGCGGTCGGCGTTCAGGGAGAAGGTCTGCGGGTGAACCACGTACTTTATGAACTGCTTCTTGGTGAGGATTCGCATCTTCTCGTCCGCCGACTCTGCCGCGTGCACAACCGCCTGCCAGCGCCGTATCCGCTGTAGCCGTGCAGCCTTGCTGTCGGCTCTCAGGGAGGCCACAATAGGAGGGTACTGCGCGACTGGGGTGGCGGCGACATCTAGGCCGGTCGTTTCTGGAACCGTGGCTGCGGCCTCAGCCGCGGTGTGTAAGGAAAGCCCAGGAGAACGGAGAACATGTCGTGAGCACCTGGCGGTCGCCATTTTTACCTTCGGTTCCGGGACCAGAGGTCAACTTCAACGATTGTCCCGGAGCTTTGCTGTAGCGACCAATCAGAAAGCGGAATCTGAGCCAACCTTAGGGAGGCCGATTCTCATTGGGTATGGGATACGTTGCATCATTAATTTCTTAACCAGTCAGCTTGCTTTTCCAATCGCTGTCTGGAGCGTTTGTAGTTGAAAGGAAGAAGTTGTGTCCTAGAGGGTTTTCCGCGGGTCCTCCTTGGGGAAGATGACGCCACCTAGGTTGCTTTTAAAACCAGGCAACCTTTTTGCCAGCAACCATTAAGGAACATTCTGCACGAAAACCGCAAGCCCTTGGCCAAAATTCTCTTAAGTTATCAAGTTTTAATTGATAGACTAATCTTACAGGATAAACAGTAAGACAGCTTCTGATTTCATTTGTGTATCCTACACCACTGCTTTTTGTTGCAGTTCTAGCCATACAGTATGAATGTCTTACCACAACAAATCAGTAAGCAAGGAGATGGTTGTGTTAATCAGTTAGATATACAATTATGTATAACAAGTAAGCAAGGAAATGGTTATGTTAATCAGTTTGATATACAATTTCCACACTGTATACCAAATCAGCACATTGTACCTCATAAATGCATTAATGTACACAGTTATGATTTAATAAAGACTTAAGAAAATACAATCGTAGCAAGTTTTTCATTGTAAATGATTATTTTAAAAATTATGCAAGTGTCACTCATGTGACTCCACTACTAATTTTTGGGAGAATAAATCCATATATTTGCCTGTGCTAATATATAGAGATTTTATTGATCTAAATTATTTTTTAAAGGAGAGAACTGGAATAACATTGATTAGATTTACTGTAATAACTTTTGAGGTTATTGAAAACCAAACCTCTTTTTACCAAAAAGGACTTATGTGTACTTTTAAATTTGAACTGGTGATAAAATTTAACTGCAAAATTGCAAGTTTATTAAACTGACCTTTAAAAATACTTCAATTCCATTAATGATATCTTCTGTGAGAAGTTTCTAGAAGAATCTCAAATATCCTTTCCACATTAGTAATAAAATGAGGACATGGAAGACTTGAGATATTTAAACCTATGTTCAGTATTTAAAGGGAAAAAGTGGCTAGGCACAGTGGCATGCCTGTAATCAAGCACTTTGGGAGATCAAGACATATGCCAGTAATCCCAGCTACTTGTCATGCTGAGGCAGGAGGATTACTTGAACCCAGGAGTTTGAGGTTGCAGTGAGCTATGATGATACTACTGTACTCTAGCCCAGGAGACCTTATTTCAAAAAAATAAAAATGACATGCTTGATGTTATCTGAATTGAAGTGACATTTTCAATGTTTTTGTGCAGATACATAATAAATGTGCTTTTAGAGAATGCATCATAGAAATCCTAGGTCAATAGCTATAGAAATTCTCACACTATTCCTGCATAGATATTAGGATGAGACTCAGAGCTAAAAACCATAGAAACCAGTTAACACTAAAAGATAATTCTGTCAAAAAGGGCCTGACAGAAGGGCCTGACATCATTCTTTTGATGAGTGAATCTAAATAATTCCCATTTATTCAATATTTACTGGTATCAACATTATGAATGAAGGATGGAGGCTGTGGGAAGGGGAAAATATACTTAATGAAGGATAAAGCAGGCCAGAGGGGAGGAGGGGTAAGGTCAGCAATGAACAAAATAGCATACTAATGAGAAAGGACAAAGTGAGAATCTTGGAAAGGCTTTCTTTTTTAGCATAATCCAGAG